GAATTCGAATCCAGATATCAATATGTGTACATATATAGTAGGTTTCTTAACAATTTTTTACATACTAATTTCAAAATTTTATGGGTCTTGCTAACCATTGTTTTAAAGACACTGATTAAGAAATCAATGAGTATAAAATTTTTATTAAACATTACTATAAAGTTATATGAAAGAATATACATATATATTTTTTATTCTGATGAGCACGAATTAGCATTTTTCTTTCTTAATTTATTACTTTTCACCTAATAATTCATGACATGGCAATAAATTAAAATAAAGTAATTAAATTCATAGCTAGGTGTACCACATGCATGTCCTATGTGTTTTGGTCATAGCCTAGTTAAACCAAACAGATAATTTGAGTTGTACCATATGAACATGAGCCTCCCCTGTGTAAGACTACGAAACCAACCACACACACTACGATACAACCTGTCGTGATATAACTAGTTTACCATTCAAGTTATTAACAGTGTGCATAATCAAACAATTTAAGCGTAAATGAAATAGCAAAAGCTTAAGATATTTGGTTGTGTGGAGGAGCATGGTTGGGCCAAGTTTGTTATAATACGAGACACGTCAGCTCCATATCTCGAATGTGTTCCCCTAATGTTAAACAAACACGAGAGATGATTGAGGCAGAAATGAAGAAATGGTGGTGCAAGGAAGGAGCATTACTCGCGACACAATATCCATTTCAAAATTTGATTCATTTCTTTGCTTCTCATGTGGGTCACCTTATGGGAAAATTTTCAAATCTTATATGACTATAATTAATTAAAGATAATATAATTAAAAAATATATAAGTAATTTATAAGTTGATTTTGTAAGATTAAATTATATTTGAATTCACGTTTTTAAAATGAACCACCTAAACCCTAAACCCTACACTCTAAATCACCTATTATTCATACATATATCAAGTTTGATAATATTGGTTATTTAAGTTTCATGTATATGAAGAGATGTATAAAGTCGATTAGTCCAAACCTATATTTTAAGACATTTTTTTTTGTTCAAGGGAAAAGAAAAATCGTGAAGCTAGAAACACTATATCAAGTTACATATATACATATGCTGTTTTTGTTTGTTTATTGGAAAATTATAAGGTGGAATGCTAGAGCCACTGCTTATCAGCATCCAAAAGCACCAAAAGATAACCCTGAAACCATGAAACTATGTTGGAGATATAAGATTTTCCATAATGTCAAGTACAGATTCGTGTAGAGTTCCAGACAGCTGTCATTTGAGTTTACCCTAACATTTCACTGTATAATTTTATTATTGAATTATATTCTTTATTATATAAATTATTTTCATCATTTTCAATAAATTTTACGCACTAAAATCGATAGTGCATATTATGTTTAAAAGAGTATGACAGGACACGGTGATCAACAAAAACAAGCATGTTGCAACAAAATCACAACTTTATCGGAAAGCCAGTTAATAAGGAATTAAACTATAAACTTACTAGTATTATAAGATCCTTCCTAATTTTATTTTGATTAGGGATCGATAACCTCAACTGTACAGATAAATTATAATTATAAAAATTGTTTTCTTTTACCAAGTTAGATATTTTTGTCTTTTCAGAATTTTTATTAATATACTATAATAATTAAAATCATTAATTAATGATAATAAAAGTTCAACCCTTAATTGGGTTGGTTTGTGAAGCGCGAGAAAGAGAAATGAAGGAAAAAATAAGAAGAAAAAAAGAGAGTGAAAAGTGATATCATTTATTTATTGTTTGGTAGGAAAAAATGATAGGAATAATTTTTTTTTTCTTTTCTCTTGTTTGACTATGTGAAAATTCAAAGAAAAAAAAATATGTTTGTATAATAATAAAAACATCACAAATAATAATTGAGATGATATTGTGAATACTTACGAATGAAATTTATGACGAATTTAATTAGGATAGTTACTCGCAGCAGTCGCAGGTAATATAAACATACTTTTCCCTGCCTATTTGGTAACAAAGCAATAATGGGTATCAATGTATTTGTGCTCACGAGTAATTTCTGTTCAAAAACTTGTTAAATACCCTTATTTACACATACATAATATTATACAAAAGTGTCCTAATCGTACTTCATTTTGTGTTGATAAATTCATATGTTTTTAAGCATTTAAGAATGAACTATTGAGTAGTACAATTGTTGAGTTTTAGTAAATATGTGTCGATACTCAAATACCCATATGAGTATGGCAAGAGCACAAAGTAAACTTGTATGATGAAGGACTACTATTCAAACTTGTTTCACTTTATTACCAACGTTAATTATTGTTGTTGCCGCTGCATGCATTTACTTTAGGTGAGGGTTGAAAGTAGTGAATGAGTGATAATCAAAATAGATACAAGTTATGACTATTTTTGAAAGTTTTTTTTTTTATATTGAAAATAAAAAATATTTTTTAGTATATATATATCTATATATATATAGAGAGAGAGAGAGTGAGGAGGTTATAATAACACCGTTGTAACTTTTATTAAGTATTACACCGCTCAATAACTTTATATTAAATATGAATTTTGTAAATTCAACCGTTAGATTGAAAGTTCATATTACTTTATATATGTATATCAAATTTTGTTAAAATTGAACAACAAATTGAAGGTAATCAAAGTGTTCATATTTTAATGTATTTTGAAATGAATATATTACGTCAATTTTGTTCTATAAAAATGAAGTATTAAATCATCTTGGATTAATATAAAATTTTGTATATATGATCTAAGAGATATGAACTTTCAATCTAACGGTTGGATTTACAAAATTCACAGTTAATATAAAGTTATTGAGTGATGTAATACTTATTAAAAATTACATCGGCGTAATTATAACCCCCCTCATATATATATATATA